TCGCCGTCGGTACGTCGACCACGACCGACCCCCCCCCCCCCCCCCCCACCACACACACACGCACGCACGGCGTCCTTGCTTCCTTGCTGTACGCTTGTCCTTTGCTTGTCTAGATCGGAGAATGAATGATCTCTCCCTTCAAATTTAGACTTGGTGGGCGGTGCATGTTCTATTTCCCTTCAATTGTTTGGCCCGGCGGAGCATTATCAACAAATCCGAGTCTGCCACTGTGGTGTGGACCCACACCGGGACACATGTTGATACATGTCTGCACAGGTTCCCTCGAGGTCGATACTTCTCGGAGCAATGTACTGCTTGCTTACCCAGATGGGTCATTGCGATTCGAGACATTGGCTCAGGCCCTGTCATGCTGGTATGCATGGCTGCGCTCACAGCACCTGGCGCTTCGCATAGTATAAATACACCATTGCTGATCCTCTCGACGGCCCTGCCCCGGGTTCATTCCACCTCGTTGGGGAAAGACTCTCATTCTCTGTGCTCGACAAGGTCCTCCAGAATGCTTGCGCAGATTTCTATAGAATTGGACGAAGAGGTCGCGAACACGCTTCGAGACAACGGCGTTGATATCGAGATCGCAAGCACTTCCACTGTCGACGATTGCCCCGGAGTTGGCAGCACGTTCGGTAAGGTGGTAGATAAGGCTGGGCAAGCGGTGGAACGGTTGTACCGCAAAGCCCCTTTGCAGTACGTCGCTTTCACATGCCGGTTGTACTTTTCCGCCAATACTCTTGACAGGTCACCACCGCTAGTGTTGAGTGACTTCGATGCCGGAGTCCTCGGCGTGATAAGCAGGAATGGGGCCGAATTCGAAGTAGCCAGTGTGTCCACTGCCTCCGACATACCAGGCCCCGGCCGTACCTTGGGGAAAATCGTGGGCGGCTTAGGCCGAGTTTTCCAGCAGATTTGCTCAAGGATTGGCGATAGAATGGGTTTAGGACCGCATGCCGCTACGAAACATATCGTCCAGTACCTTTTTAGGCCTCATGCGGAGTGGGAATTTGACCCATGGCATCCTTACATGTGGTGCCAAACATGCGGATACTGCGACATAATGCGTGCAAAGGATATGAGACCGTCTCAGATATCCTCTTTCCTGGGCAACATGGTTCAGTTGTCTATGATGGCGACTGACTTGGACGACGGTCAATATAAGCTGGAAAAAATTAAGGGTGAATGCAAGAGGCTCAGCAAGTATATCGGGTGCGACCAGCTTTTGTGCCTCCTTGACATGACTCATTATGTCTGTCGACAGGTGCAGCAGTGCTCAATCACAGGCAGCAGCTGTATTTTACGTTCAGGTCCTTCGGAGCCTGTTCCCGCATCTCGAACCCTTCTTCGAGGAACACGGTCGTGGAATAGAGCTTCAGCAAACTCTCGCACAGGTTACAATTCTTCAATCATTTGCGAGGATGCAGAAACCCATCCTGCCCGACTTCCGCGTTCCGATAGACACAGCGACTGTCGATGTTCTGAGTTGTGTCAGAGACTACTCTAGCGTCGAATGGAGAGCAGCAGGCTCGGCCATTTTTGCCAGCAAATCAGGAGCCCGCGCGCTTTCCAAAGGCCCGCCGCCCGCTGCGATGATACTCATGGAGGCAATTATTTGCCATTTCTTAACTGGGTTCGTCTTGAACTTGGCATTTCCAGACAGGTCATCTGCTAAGCTTTCCTCACAGAGATGTTGAGTTATCGCATATCGCCAGTCTTCCGATTCTCAGGACATTGGAAAGGCATGAAGCTTGGCTGGCGCAGGACATGGAGTCGCACGCGTCTTACTTCTTTAATATCTTCAGCAAGAGTCGAGTCCGGCGTTGGGGCCTAATATATGCCTGCGACCCAGATCCTCTGAAACGAGCCCTTGCTCACCGGATGATCAACGCCCTCCTCAAAGTTCTTGACGGTCCCATCGCAGGACACCCCCGCGTATTCGAGACTTTGAGTGCGATCTTGACCAGCACGAGGTTTCAGAGATCTATCAATGACGGGCGGTATGTCCATGAACTCACCCTCGTGTTGCATCAGAGGCTTAGCCCTTATTGCTTGAAATTCAGGGCAGAACTGACACAAGAGGATATTTTCTCCGCTCAGCAGTGGCAGCTCTTGCCATTTTCCCTATCGGCGGAATCGGATCATACCCTGAAAGCGGCGATAACGGACCTTCCTAAGTCGATCGACATACCACTAATGGACTGGATACCCTGGCGTATACTTGGTCGCTTTATGTATGAATGGGGCGTGACAACAAATCAGAGCCACGAGGAAATTTATCAGGAGCGGTTTCCTTGCGCCGTCTCCTTGACGGACCTGCACTCACTGTGCTCTCACATGGCTGAAGTAATAATACAACGATGGTATGTAGCTGTATTTTTCCTGACCATGTGTACTGTAAGCACTGAGACCATGCCTTGCCTAGTCGAGACAAACGCCTCGAACCGATGCCTTATGAATTTTCGCTGATACTAAAGAAGGACAGAGACGTATTTGACATCCTGTATAAGATGTTGCTAAGTGTAGCGGAATCGGGTAAACGCTCCAAGCGTCTCAAAGCTGTTTTGGGCACCTTTGCCACGAACGAAGCCTTCCGCGTGAATGTGTCATTACTCTTGCACGGGAAGGTTGACCTCGGGGCTTATTACTGGAAACGCAAAGACCTCAGGCCATATCCTCAGAATGCCACACACCTTTGGAGGTATTTTGACGAATCAATGCAGCGCCATTGTTTTGTATGTGTATCCTCTCCAGTTATCACAAATTGCATTATTTACATTTCGACACCAGGAGGATACCATGGACCCACAGTGTTTCGACCCTCAGACTGAAGGCGAAAGGCTTGTGGGATACCACCGCGGATTGCGGTGGGTCCCGGCCGCAGAGCTGCGTTGTCGTTCCTACCGCTACCGTGCTATCATTGCGACTTTGAACGACTCTGGAAATCCTGCGTATTTTGTGTGCATAAGAACCCCCGACTTCGGACTGCAAGGTGTCTATGTCATGAACAGGGATAAGCTATATATGGACGAAAACGTCCTATGCATGTATGTTCTGGCTGCGCAAGTTCTCGCAGATGGAGAGACTCCCCAGATTTACTGGGCATCTCCTTCGTGGTACGCCCAAATTCCACTACATCTGCTAACGGGCGTCCTGACTGGAACGCCTGCCATTGCAGGGGAACCAGATTATGCTGCAAAATGAATTGCTTATGCGAATTCATCGAGTCCTCGCGCAGAGCCAGTTTCACCCTGAGCATGGCCTACATCCCCGACGCGGTCCACCTCCCTGAAGCGCTCCCGGACATCCACCTCGTCAATGCCGTCACTCTCGAACCCGTCACCATCAAAGGCGGAGACTTCAAGGTCGTGCAGTGTCCTACCTGGTACGTAACCACGCATTCACTGAGCAGACATCGGACGAAACCAGATGTTTGTCCAGGTTCCACGGAGGGCCCCGCCTCGAATGGACCGGCGAACGCTGGTATCGTCCGCTGCAGCCCGAAGAGCTATGCGCCCAGTACGTTCGAAAAATCACACGGGGGTTCCTGCGGAGTTTGGTGAACAACGATGAATGGCCGAGGAATGCTCTTGAGCGCGACGAAGAAAAGCTAGCATGTGTTCACCACAGGGAGAGTGATGATGATGCCGGCCTCCTGGTGCGAGGCATTCTAGCGCGCCCAATGGGTGCCTCGGTACGTGTTACTCCCCGATTCTCAATTTGAGGCAGGCACAACTTGTGTAGTCGTGCATGAGATAGCGGTATCGATGTTCAGAGTAATCTCGTCGTAGAGCTCTCCTCACTAGTGCCAGTAGTGGGCTGCTAATCCACTTAGCACGTGAGGCTCTTGTAGCATGCGAGGAGCACACGTCACAGTGCAGGATCTTCCTGAATCAGGAGTACGCATATATATTCTGAGCCTGTTCTGGAATACCACCATGAGTGATTTGGCTTTAGCGCCTTGGTGTGCTCCAGGATCCAAGAAGCAGCAGCGATGATCCAAACCTCTTCAGAGCGCTGGCCGAGAGTTCTGCAGCCATTGACTCTTTAGTCACCACCCCATAATGGAAGGGGCGGATAAGCTGCCCACCTGGCACATAAGGGCTCGTGGGCAGTGTAAGTTTCACGGCACAATACCGAACAATCAAGGGGGACGATTGGGGCGAGAAGACGGGCTTGTATGCATGGCTAAGAGACCTCCCAGGAGTTTACTGACCTGAATCACTGCGGCCCTTCGATTGAGTCGGACTAACACGCTAACCGAGAGCAATCTGGCTGCCGGAAAGAGCAACAGCCTAAGGTGTTGATCGTCGAGAAAGGCTAAGGCATGTGGGACGCTAGTATTGTAGCCTACCGTGCTAACCCGGGGAAGGGATGTAGAACTCTGTTGCAAATCTGTTTAATGGGGATTTGAAGCCCGACGTCGGGCGTCGAATCCACACAACAGAGGGCGAACAGTGTTCTGGAGGTTGACTAGGATGCGCTCGAGCCAGGTACAAGTACGTTCAGTGAGAGGATGGAGGATATTCATCGTGCAGTCGACAGTGGGATGCGAGTTACCAACAACTTGAAGGCGTGTGTCGCGCTGAGCGCAAAGCCAACGGAGTTCCAGCGGACCACTAGCCGTGGCTGTTTTGTGAAGCTGCATCGCTGTAGTCAAGCATATAGTCATATGCATGGGCTGGTATCTACCCTCATGCAGAGTGCCGTCGGATATGTATGCTGAAAATACGCCGCACTTGCTATCTCGAAGGCAGGTAGGATCCCATGTTAACTGAGCTGAACACCTGAATATAATGGGTTTGCGCCCAACCTCAAATGATTCAGAAGCTGCTTGAAAAACCAACTCAACAGCGCTAGCCTCAGCGAAAGCCTACAAAAGTCGTCCAACAAGGCCCGGTATGCTTCTTATAATTCTCTGATATCCCACTGGCACCCTCGAGGACGGACTTCGGGCGGGTCGGTGATTTCGCCGGTGCTCCATGCAGAGCCTCTCGTCCCGTTTATTCCACAGTGGATCTGGTTCCGCAAAATCCTCTGCAAAGCAGCCATGTCGAAAGGCGGAGGCTGGTTTCCGTACTATCGATGAAGGCAAGATTTCTGAGCAATGCGATCGCTCACTTGAAATGTGGTGGACGGTGAGTCGTATCCTGCTGCCGCATTAGAAACGACAAGCTATCAACCAGCTGCAGTGTGAGCTGCCTTCACATTGTGGACCCACACAGGGGAGTCAGACCGAATCACAATGCTTCCTCAAGTTTCTCATGAATTCGATGAAGATACTATAGATGCGCTATCAAACGGCGACATCGAGGTCGAGACTGCAAGTGTTTCCACTTTGGATCACTCGCCTGGCCTAGGCACGGTCGGCAAGCTAATCGACAAGACTGGACAAGCTGTTGAACGCCTATACTCGAAACCTTCACCACGGTACGTGATGTCTGCTGTCAGGCGAGACTATTCGCTGAAACCATCCACGGCACTCTACCGCTCATAGCACAGGACTTTGATGAAGGAGTTGTGGATAGTCTCTGCAGTAACGGAGCCGATTTCGAAGTCGCAAGTGCGTCTACAGCCTCTGACCCAGTCGGAGACTGAGGTGTTGCTGGCTATTCAGGGGCATGATGACGGGTCGGGACCTCCTGTCTATCCAACAATGGAATCTCTTGCCATACTTCCTGAACCGAGAGTCAGATAGTATGATCTCAGCGGCAATAGCGGATCTTCCAAACTCCTTAGGAACTCCCGTAGCCGACTGGATGCCGTGGCCCATCCTCGGCCGCTTTATGTTTGAATGGTGTACAATGTCGAATGGGAGTCGTGAGGAGTCAATCAGATTGACTTCCCCTTTGCCGTGTCTCTCGCCAAACTTCACACATTATGCTCACAATTGGCCGAAGTGATCGTCCAGCGGTGGTGTGTATACAGTCATCTTCATCTTGACTTTACCAGCACTTACAAAACTGTTTATGTACATAGTAGCGACGGACACCCCGCTCCCATGCCGTATGAATTTGCACTGATCCTGAAGAAGGATCGAGACGTATTCAACATAGTTTACACGATGCTGCGCAATAAGTGGCAGTCAGGTGAACGGACCCGCGCCCTCAGAGCTGTGCTGAAGACTTTCTCCACGAATCGCGACTTCCGAGTGATGGTGTCGGTATTCCTACATCAGAGTGTCGAACTCGGGGAATATTACTAGGATCGCAAAGACCTTATGCCTCGCTGCCAGAATGCCACGGATTTCTGGAGGTACTACGATGAGTCGCGGCAGAAGTACGCATTGGTAAGCCCCACATATGTTGATTCCTCTTACGCACTTCAGCCATTGAGGCAACCATCAGGAGCTGGACGTCGAGCCATCCGCGTTCGACCCGAAGACCGAGGGCGAGCGGCTCGTCGGGTACTGGCGTGCTTTACGATGGGTCCCCGCGCGCGAACTGCGCTGGCGGTCGAAAAGCTACCGTCCCATCATCGCATATGTGGACAACTCCGGCAAGCACAGACACTTTGCTTACGTGCGGTACTTCGACGCCAGCCATGACCGTCCCGGGAGGCTGATCACGGCCACCCTTGACGACGTGTTGGCGTACGGGGGCGGGGACTACTGGTGCATCCTGTCAGCGCCGATCCTGAACGACGGAGAAATTCCGCAGATCTACTGGGCGTCTCCTTCGTGGTACGATCTCGCCTTGCGCGGAGGCGCAGCGCTGACGGGGCCGGCAAACACAGGGGCGTTAAGATATGCCGCGGGTGCAGCTGCAACATGCTCGCGCTCACGGGCGACGACTACTCCACGATGCGGATGCTCCATCTACCCGACGCCCTCCCGGACGTCCGCCTGGTCAACGCGGTCACGCTCGAGCCGCAGACCATCAGAGGCGGGGACATGAAGATCGTCGACTGCCCCACCTGGTGCGCCCCTTAGCTCATCCGTGGTACAGCAGCTTTTACATACTTACTTGGTCTCCCATGCCAGGTTCAACGGCGGGCCCGCCCTCCGATGGGACGGCAAGCGATGGATGCGCCCGCTGCAGCCCGACGAGCTGGAGGCGGCATGGGAGGAGAAGGTCGAGTATGACGCGCCGACGCCGCTGGAGGACAACGACGAGTGGCCGCGGAACGTGCTCGAGCGGGCCCCGGAGATGCTCGCGCGCGTCTACTGGAGGACGAGGGACGCGGATGACGGCGGGTACATGCGGCGGCATGTGGACAATCTTGCGCGCCCCGAGGACTTTGGCGCGGTGATCCCGTCTCCCCTGTTCTCGGTTTGATGAGAGCGTAATTTACATATGGGTGTGGATGATTGACTTGCTCGCCTGTGTGATGAATACCGACCGGTCACGCATAAACCCATATGCACGAATTTTTTCTGCTGCAGCACGAGAGAATACAACGATCAAGTAGAACTAAACAGATCTAATGTAACACACCGGCAGAATAACACCTATGTATACATACATCTAACCCTCCCTCCCCATCGCCCTCTACAGCACTAACAACCTCCACTCCAACTATCCCAGTCCTACATGAGCAACAAAGCCCCCACCACAACGCCCCCCAGTGAACCCCATACACCCTTACCCATCCTCACACTAACCCCAGCATTCGCCCCCTGGCTCCCCGCATCCACCCAGTCCCGGTGCGGCGCCGCGACCAGCTCGAGCACGAACGCCTGCCCATCGGGCGACTTGCCCCCCTCCTCGAACCTGGCTGACGTTGAGGTTCTCACCCAACTCTCCAGTAGCTACGGTTGCGCGTCACCGCGAGAGACGAGGCTGGATTCCTCGCGTCGAGCTTGCTTGGCAATACTCTGGTAATACTCCTTAAAAACACTTAGCTTTGGGGTTCTATTGACCACTATGGGTTAAGAGATTTGACTGTATCGCCTTTGTGCATCTCACTTGGCGGCACCCTCGGAGGTCCAGCTTTAGTTTGGCAAACATTTTGACACAGTGCTGACTTGGACGATAGGCTTAGACGAGTTGATAATACATCCTACAACTGACAATGGCCCGATGAGGGTGTGCACAAAAGAACACAAAGATAACTTGATATTCAGATCCTAATCTTCTTCGAGGACATCGTTATCCGGCAAGTCTTCATAATTGGGGCCATAGACAGTCGGTGCTATCCCCTCGTATGACATTTCATAGTAGTCCCTCAAGGGTCGGGCCCATACGTTCATCGGATCCGCCCGCACACTGTCAGCCCAGCGTTCCGCCCGACGTGCTGTAGTCAGACGAGAGATGAGCCTACTTAGTAACGTCGCGTCATGCGCCAGTAGTAGCAACCGGTCTTCAGGAGGGCCCTCGTCCAGGCTCCGCGCCAAGCTGAAGTCAATCAGGACACATGCACCTGGATGTATCCGGGGCACGATAGCATTCCACCAGCTAATGTCCCAGTGTACGACTCCGAGGTGATGTAGACAGTAGACTGACTTCACAATGGTGGTGAGCTAATAGGAAAAGCACTCGTCAGCTCCAAGGACTTTCTAGTAGTTGGTAGGTGCCGCACAAATTTGTTAGTCTCTTCTTCATTCAGGTATCCGCCAAACGCTTTCGAGTGGGTAGCAGGGCTTAGGCCGTCGATAAATTCCATTATGTGAGCGCACACGACGTCCTTGCAAGGCAATTCCACCTGTCCGCACATCACTATGCTGCCTTCGGTGATTATATATAGACCAACACACCAAATAAAATCCGTATGAGTAAGGGACCACGGTCCCCTGAGCGGGCCGAAGCCGCTCATACGCCCATGCTTCACGATGAGCCAGCTCTTCTTGTAACGGCGAGTCTTCATCAAGACGGTCATGGGCATCCAACCACTGAGGCTCTGGAAAGAGGGAGCCTTGGAATAATTTCACTACGACTGAGAATGAGGGACCGTTTGGGCAAATTGCTTCAGCTTGCCAGACCTGCGCGAACTTCGCTGGGCCTGTAGCTACAGGAACGCGCAGGATAACGCGGAATGCGGGCAGACAACTGCAGTTCAGGCGGAGATTGTCGAAATATGGTCTCCGAGGATGAGCATATGCATCCGCTGCTGCAGGGTCATGAGGCGCAAGGGGTTGACCCAGGTAAGAGCCCTGCGCCACTTGCATCAGGAAAACCCTCCGTAGCTAATTAGATATAAATTATGCTTGATCAGACAAAACGTAGCTTAGCCCGATAACTGGTGATGACGCGGCATAATGTTGCAAAATTATTCGGACGGTGTTCATATTGTCTGTGATTAGCTATAGTTTGAACGAGAGTTTGTTGTGGTATAGCGGGTGTTTGCACGGTCCTGGTTGCTTGCAGGGGTCATATGTTCGAGTCCGTATGTAGCTTTATTTTCGAACACGTCACCCCCTGTAGTCAACCCAAGCGCATGCGGGATGTCATTATATTGATCTGTCCAATTTTAGCACATAGTCAAAAAGGTCCTATGTTGATCAAACGACATACATGAATGCAGGGTTGTTTAGACAAATGTAGCAAACGTGTGCCGGTCTAGGAATGGGTTTACAAAGAATGCTGCCGCCAAATCTAAGACAGTGCTGCTTGTCCAGTCCCGAGGGACGACAGGACCAAACTTAGGCAAGAGATGTACACTACGTTCAATCTGAGAAACTGGTATAATACTCGCCAAGCGTTCCCCATTCTGAATTGAGCGGACAACCCTGTACATCCCCGAGTTACGGTCTGGTTCCGCAGTGAAAGCCGAGAACCATTCGACGTATGCCAGGTGATCCGGCGGTGGTCGCTTGAATAAGGTCGCGACGGCGCGAGGCGGTAAAGCGAAGACTACGCGCACTTGCGCTACTCGAAAACCTGTTGTAGAGTTGCAACGTCAAATGGACAGCATAGGCAGGGATATAAGACTCACCTTGCAACCGCGAGTTGGCATTTCCAGAAGTCCCCATATTAACGAGAACTGTATCAAACCGCGCAGGAACATCGCGCCCGCGCGAGTCTTGACGGATGGGCTTTGCATGCACTGCATCGGATGTATCAAATTCTGCAGTACGTGCGAACGGATCCCGGTTTCGAAACTTTATCTTGTGGAAGACGGGAATGGTTTGGAACCGGATGGACATGCGGTTTGCAGCATCCTCAATCTGAGCGCGCGTCAAATGTGGCTGGTGGTATTGGGCCACAAAGCGGGCGAGAGCCGCTTCGAAGTATGTTGCACCATAGTCGCTGCGGACCTCCGATAAAGG